ACTTCCCCGTTACAGAACAGTTAAATCAATACAAGCAAAACACTAAAAACTCTTCAAACCAAAAACTACACGGAACATTGCAAATGCAGCCAACAACTAAAACACGACTACAAAAGCATCATAAAAACAATGCGTATATAACTCCACACACAATTCACCACTGAACCAACTAAGTAACAGGAGAAGAACAGCGTGTTATTGTTAATCCGTGGCGAACAAGCATGGTATCGCGTGCAAACACTTGCAATTTACGAAAGCGAAACAGAAACCCTAGATTGATGAAAAACCCGTCCTCCATTTCCGGAACGGTAAGGAGAGGGATTCGTGAGCTAATTGGAAGCTATGAGTGATCGAAGTGAAGAGTGAAATGGAAATTGGGAGTGAGATGTACCGTAGATTGCGAGATTTTGCGGCGATCTGGAAAAAGGAGTTTCGGAAATTCGCGGGAACCCGAGCGAGGCTCAGAGCTGAGAAAAGAAAAGAAGAAAAAGAAAGAAAGAAATAAATAAAATGAAAATAAAAAATAGGCGGTGAGGTAAGGGGAGAAACAGGGATGCTACGCTAGACTCACCAGGACAGTGACGAGATTTAACAGCCAGACCTCTTTATTTATATCGAAATTTTGGGGAAAAATAAATTCAACCACAAAACAAACAATGAAATTTTCTGGGTGAAGTTAATTAATATTAATATGATAAGATATATTAAAAAATCGGTAGACGAAACGAAAGCAAGCACACATGATATTTTTTTCCCTGAAATAAAGAATTACAAGATTAAGCGTTAATGTTGAAAGAGTACAAAATTACACCCTAGCGCCTAGGTTTTTTTTTATTTTCATTTCTGGCACTTTAAGAATGGGTGATAACATAATTCTATAAAAAAAATATGATATAAGATGTGATAACATAATTCTAAAAAAATATGATATTTTTTCAAATGTTATTTGTAAATTACTAAATTATGGATGTAATATAAGTAAACTTTAATTAAAATACACTGTAAAGATTTGTTAGACTGTCATTTAATTTCATATTAATATGTATAATAAGTTTGTCAAATCTTTTAACAAATTCTTTTAGAAGTTGTATTGGAAATATTTTTTATTGGATAGTTTTGTTTACATTATAAGTGCGTAAAAATTAGACTCATACATAGAGAGAGAGAAAAAAAAACTTTTAAAACTTATTCGACATTATTAAATTGATTATTTAAATATAATTATTGAGATTGAAATAATATTTCTATATTTTATTTAAAAAATTAAAATTAAAAAAAATTATATTGAATATAAAGATAATTAAGTAATAAAAATAATACAATACATAATTATTAAATAAGAATGGTAATTATTAAAAAGGTTATTTGATTTTTTTATAATAAAAGAGCATAATAATTTATTAAAATTGGTTATTAAAAGAGATGTCCCCTTTATATATATGTTAGTATAGATATTTTTAATAAAATGTTTTGATCGGTAAAAAAATATAATGAATATGATTGTCTTTATAGTTTTTTTACTATAAAAGTCCATAATATATAGAATGTGTTTATTTTATATTTAGTAAATTTTCATTTCAATTATTTAGTCAAAAAAATTTAAAAAAATCCTTAACAAAAATTATATTTTTTATTTTGACAAACTTTATATTTATCCTCTTTTGTTATTAGTATTTATATTTATTCTTTTTCTTTATCAATATACCTTGATTCATTAAAGTTAGTTTAGTAGTGAAAATTTTAAATAACTTATATAATATTTTATATTTAAATTTTGTTGATCAAGGATATGGCTTGATTGGTTAAGGCCTATTTATTTTAGACTGCTAGAGGAACCAAGATATTACTGATTCAAGTAGATTGAACTCAAATATCTTAAATAAAATTTTAAAATTAAGTTTTATGTAATTTATTTGTTAGTTAATTTGGTTTTTTCATCATTTTTTACATTAATAATTTTAATTATGACTGACTTATTGCTCACAATTTGACACGTGTAATCAAATTAACCAAATTATTTAGATATATTAACAAAATTATCGTATTATCATTTAAAAAGAATGTGAATTTTATTCAATTAAAAAAAGAATATCAAAAGTCAAAGTAAAATAATTATTTCATCTTTATATAAGCTCATAATTTATAATAAAATTTAACCGGATTTAATTAAGTCTGTGATATTTATTTTGGAAAGCTTAATGCTAATAAGATGATTCAATACTTCACATTTTCATAAGTCTTATATTTGGAGACTACTGTTTCAATCTCTTATGAAGAAAAATATTAGGTGTTTTAAAACTATTATAGTCTCATTAAAACATGACATATAATATAAGTATTGTTTTTTTTAAATTACAAAATATTAATGCGTTACATGGACATTAATTGAAATCGTAACATATGCTAGTCATAGATTGACTAATGATTTATTCTTTTTCTATCTCTACAATCTAACATTTGTAACTAGTTTTAGATGGTTCAAGAATCTTATGATAGGAAAAAGTTGTAGATTTGTAGTCTAACATTCATAAATGATAATAATGTCTTAAGAAAAATGTTTTCCCTACTTGTTCACATGTACATTTACATCATTTGCCCCCCTTTTAATGACCTTTTATAACTTGAGCATCATAATATTTTAATTATTTTTTGAAGGTATTAATCTCTCATCACAAAAAAAATCTAGTACAATATTAGAGAAACTTTAAAGGTAGTTGCTTGAAATTAAGGAATTGCACTTAATCTATTGTACTATCATAATAAGTTAATTTAAATGCACTTAATGAACAATTATTGCTTGTACACACAATTGTCCCGTATCACTGTATGGTATTATATGTAGAACATTAAAACATTCCAAAGAGCATCAATGATAAGTATGCTATTGGAATTTAGAAGTGTAGTGGGACCATTTTTTTATGTGTTAGTCTAGTTTATTACTCATTCAATAAGCCTATTACACCCTGGGAGTTGGTTCATAACTACAACCTTTGTAACTTCATGGTATACTCATTAATTAACAAGTTTGTATTTGGAAGGATGCAACTTATTTTCCTTTACAGTCACCATAAAAATAACTCGAAACACTCGTTATTGTTAAAGTGGAGTCTTAAAACATAAAGATATTTTACTTCTTGAAGTTGTTCATCTATTAATACCCTTTTTAACTTGAGCTCCATATTTCTTCTAAAGGTATTCATCTCTCATCACAAGAAAAACTCATTACAACACCAAAGAAACATTAAAGGTAGTTGTTTAAATCTAAGGAATTGCATCTTAACCATTTATACTACCATCTTAAGTTAATTTATATGCACTCAACAAACAATGTTGTTTATTCATGCAATTGTTTCTTATTATTTCATAAGATTCACTCGTGTAAAACATTGTAACATTCCAATGAGCATCAATGATAAATATGATATTAGAATTTTAAAATTGTAAAGGGACCATTTAATTTTTTTAGTTAGTCTAGTCTATTACTTTTTTTTTTGTGTGTGTTTATTTTGTCTGAGGAGTTGGTTCAAGGGTACAACATTTGTTACTTCATGTTATACCTATGAATCAACAAGTTTTTCTCTAGAATAGTGCAACTTCTTAAACATTGCGATATCTATTTCCTCTAATAACTGAACATGTTTATTGTTATTTATGTATCTCGAAGTACCCAGAAATATTATTAAATGTTTAAATAATTGTTGACAACTTTCAAATGCACTAATATAAAGAATCATAAATTGAAATAAATGTACAATATTCATTCACTTATTAGTGTTAATTAGGTGCTATGTTAACTTTTGTAGCTCTTCATCATTTTAAAATGTACAATATTTATTTTATTTTGTTGGAACATTTTTTCCTTTTACTCATATTAAAAATTATGTATAATTTTATAGTGAGAGGTTGTTGTACAAAACATGTTTAAAGAATAATTAATTTAATATTGTGCTAAATTAGAGATACAAGTTATAATATGGTTTTTTTGGTCTCCTTTAACTTGTGTTTTATCTAGTAAACTCATTTTAGTGATATATGTTTAAGGTTTAGGATTTATTTTCGTTTCTCTCGTTCTAAACTTCACTTCATTTTTATAGTTCTAAGCTAAGTTATCATGAAGTTCACCTGTCTTTTGCTCTTTTTTGTCTTCCCCACTCTCATTGGTGGAAGTTTTGAATTGAGACCACAATATATCCTAAAACCTTAAGACAATAAGTAAATGGGTCTTTCTAAGTTTTATATTACTCAACATGCTTAACTTTAACCGATGTGAAAATTCGTTTCACACTTAATTCCAACAATACGGATGGTAAGATAGATCGTCGCATGACATTTTTTTTATCAATATATTTTTACAATTCAAATTTGACGGGTCCACAACTAATTGCAGGGAAATCTATTCAAATCGAATCTCATGATTTATCATTCCAATTAAACAATGGTTATTTTGAAAATAACACTGTGATTTAAGCGAGTGAAAACTTCTTTACCGCATCATTATATTCAATTCAAAAACAAGCAAGAAATATCAAATTTGATCCAAACCTGCCCCAGTGCCATCTCTTCAGCGCGGTGAGACTGTTAAATTAATAATGATAATGCAAAGAAATCAATAACTCTCATAAGTGGAAGGGATCACGATAAGATGCACAGCGGCCATGTCTTGAAAAAGCGTGTTTGCGCATCGCAAAGAATAGCTCACGACAGAAATAATGAAGCACCAATGCCATCCCATCACATCTTGGTTCGAAAATCCATTTATGAAACGCGTTCAATGCTTCGACCACGTTGTAAAATCTGTATCCGATTACAAGCCAAACAAAACACGCCATAATTGCAGATCATAACAAAAAGGACAGAAGCAACTCACTTCTGAGTTTGGACAACAATGCCAATAAAAAGTTGGACTATTCTGAAAGTGCACCCAATCAATAACCGTGTTTTTGAAAATTGAAAGAAAACAAAAGGTTGATCCGAGCAGAGGTGGGTAAATGGCTGGAAGATAAAGGAATCATCATAAATTATTATTGAAATTTGAAGCACTAAACTGAAGTGATGATTTACAAAGAACTCAAGCTAACAAAACCAGCTAGGGTTTGAGTTGTTACAGTTCAAGCAAGGATGAAAATGTTACAAGTAAACAACAACCATTTTTGGCAGAAGTGTACACAAGTAAAAAGACTCACACTTAGAAGTACTCTACAACCAATTATATTCTTCTTTTTTTCTTTCAATTAGTCTGTCCACCTTCAACACCTAAACCATACAACACACCAGAATACTTCTCCGTCGACCCATTGAAGAACGTGTCCCTCAACTTCCTAAATGTACACGCAGTGAGTAAACTATCAGAGCCAGCCTGATGGCACACACCAACCCTCTCCACCTCCAACAACTCCGCAAGCTTGTTCAAACCACCGTGGAGGCTGTTGCAGAACTTCATCAAGTGCTTAATATCATAAACCATCGGAAAATAAATCTTGATCAGTTCAAAGAACCCGGCCTGCGTCTCCGGCAAGCTCCGGCATGTCAACAGCTTCAGGAGGTAACCGAAATCGTAGCCGCTGTGGAACGTCACCCAATGCACGGCCTCGTTCAACACAATCCCCGACGACATCAGAAGCTCCCCGAACCGGTTCACGTCGATCCCTTTCTCGCTGTTCTTCTTGAAGTCGATCCCGCCCTGGCGCAACAACTCGATCGAGTCGCTCGCGAAGATGTCCTCGCTGATGTTGAACTCGCGGAAGTTGAATTGCCAGATGCAGGGACTCTCCGTGCCGCAGGAAGGGAGGTTCCCGTGCGCGTCGGAGAACGTGAGGCCTAACTGGATCAGCTTCAGCATGTCCACGTTGTCCTTCAGCGTCTGGTAGTTGTAGTCGTTGATGTTCTTGAAATTCCCCACCGGACGGAGAACCACGCCGGGGAACTCGGTATCCATGGCCACGTAGTTGTACTCGTCCACAATTCCGCGGATCAACGCGAACTCCTCCTCGAGGTTGTCGTTCCATACCTCTCTGATTTGAACCGAATCGCCTTTCGGTAAAATCGACATTTCGAACGAAGGAATCCGAGCAACAGAATGAAAAGCGCAATCAAACCCCCCAGATCTGCAGAGAAAAAACGCGGAAACCGTTCAGATCTGAAATCCTAACAAATCGCGACAGACAATAGAAAGAAATCTAGAAATCCGTTATACCTGAAGAGGATTTGAGCGAGTAGAGGTTGGAATGAGCGATGCGCGGAGGAGATTGAAGTAGATCTGAAAGAAAAAGAAGCATGCGATGTGAGAAAAGAAGTGAAGTAGGGTTAAAGTAGTTGAAGAGTGAGGAATCTAACCTTGGAGTGAACGGAAAGAGGAGCGAGTAGCAGCGATCTGGAGTCGGTGATGGGGGATTTGAGCTGCGGTGGAGAGGTCAACGAAGGAGGGTTGGGGGGGGGGGGGGCGGAGGGGGG